CTGGGCACAATGCTCGTACTACACAGGCTTCTGGCAGCCAAGCTGTTGCGGCGCGATCCGGCGCGACGGGACGCAGAACATCAGCGCGACGGTGGCTACAAAGCTCAAGCCCTGAAGCAGCCACAAAGGGCCTGCCGGGTGCTGTTCTGGAGCCGCCTCGCCCTGCAAGCTGCCTGCATTACCAACAGACGCAGGTGTCTTATCGCTCCTACCAGGGGTTTAATCTCATTTCCTGTTATTTTCATTACACATCAGGAGCATCTCTCACAAGTCAAAATTTCTCTCTGCTCTGCCACCGGAACGAGTAATCAGCTGCGAAGCCTCTCAACTTCCGAAGTTGGTCTTACGCTCTTGGAACTCGGACTCTGCCAGACGAGGTTGGTCTTGAGGTCTTGGGCTGGCGGAGAACCCTGCACGCGAATTGACGCCGCCTGTGCTGTCGGGCTCCTGAGCTGCATTGCCTAGCAGAACATGCAGTGAACAGTGCTCTGGGGCTTGGGGTTGTTGCCATTGGCGTTTGAAGGTTTGACCGCTTCCTGCTGTGCCCCGGCACATGACATGCAAGAAGCTTCCCAAACCCAACACTGCGCCAAACAGCGGGCCTGTTTGGTCCATGATAGTGACCGCTGTAAACACTGACCCGACGACCCGACTCTTCACTCGGGGACCCTTGGAAGCCCCCTGGCCCTTCCGAGCCTCCCGCTGGAGGGCTATGCTCCTCTTCGCCTGGCCGTTTATCGCGCCCGGCTTCGGGCCCTGATCAAAATTGTTTGGTGGGGTTGCAAGTCGGGTTCTGGATCCCAACTAGGTCTAACCCCATTTCCATGTCCTGTAAGTCTACCCGGCCTGGGTCACCGCCGGCCGGCAAGTCCAGTGCAGTGCTCGGCTCATCCTCGCGTTTCGACTTGGGACCTGAAAACGAGGGATCTGCTGATCTACACCGATGGCACTTCGTCTGGGTTTTTCTGCGAGGCTTTGGAGCTCCAGGGGTTGTGAAGGTTTCGCACAAGGCAGGCAAGGCTTCACAACGACTGGTCCACAATGGTGGGGGGTTTTCTCGGATGCTGGTCCCCCTGGCGGGATAAGCACAGCTGGCTTCTTCTCAATTGGCACTCAACTTCCGAGACATCATGCTTCAACCCGACCCTGCAGCTCCAAATGCTGACGACCTCAAGACTCCCTGTGGTGAAATCATACGCAGCTTCAAAAAGTCTAGTCCCCACGAAAGGTCGCCACCATCGCATTATGTGGCAGCCCCTAAATTTGGCGGCACCCAAGGCATGCGCGGGCTAACCGCAGTTTCTGCACCGCCTCCTGGTCATTTCCAAGGCAACTCTCGGGAATTCCGGGCACTGTTGAGCTTAGGAAGGGGCCAGCTTAAGAGCCTGGCCGCCTCTCTGCAGCACGGTTTGGGCTTGCTGGGTCAGGGAGTGAGGGAGGATGCCCACTAGGGGCCCATCGTCCGGAACTGCACGATCCGACCCTGCAGCTGCCATAACTCAAGCTCCTCGGCCAGGAAAGTCTCTTGTTCCAGCACCTGCGCATAGAAAGACTGGGCACACGATCGGAAGGATTGGCTCCCACCTCAATCAGGGCGCGGTAGTCGAACGCCTCTTTTCTCATCAACTGCAGCGCACGCCTTGGACAAGAGATGGACGGCAGGTGACTACACAGACGTAAAGGATTCGATCACATAGGCCAAACACCAGGACAACCTATGCGAGCCTTTCACGTGCAAGCGGCCTTGATGGCGTCCTCTTAACGTCTCAATTCTTTTTTGGAATTAGCGGGACCAGGTGGAGCGTGCAGCTGGGGGTAGTGTATGAACGTGAGGGCAAGGTGCGTTGGTCGGTGCGTCCAGCGGTGCGTGATCTCAGTGCCCTGCGCTAGATGTTATTGAAGGTGCACAGCGTGGCGCAGAAGCCGGTGCTAGGTTGGTTCTTGCGCTAAGGCCTATAAGGCTCTCGTCGCAAGTGTTTCGCCAATGCTGATTTATCGCTTCTTGGCTCCCTCCCGGTTGCTAATTGGTTCCTCGGTTGCTCCGCCCTGCCGGTTACTATTTGGTGCTCTCGCTGCCACTCCCCGTCCCGGTTACAATTTGGTTCCTTTGCCCTGACTGGGCCCGAACCCAAAAGCCCCTCCCCGAGCCCCAGGCCCAGGGCCTGCTTGGGTGGGGGCTGGGGGGGAAGTGGGCGGCTTGCAGAATTATTGCCCACAAAGCTTGTAAACTAGCTCCAAGGTCTTGCAAAGATTTTTGTCCACAAGCCTTTCAAGCTAGCTCCAAGGCCTTGCAAGATTTGTGGTCACTTCTCCCAGGCCTTGCACGATTTTTCTTTAACAAGCGACCCCAGGCCGTGCACCAACCTACGCTCCAGCCAGTGCACCAAGAATTTTTGCACCCGTCCCCGAATCTAAAAGTGCTCGGTCGCAGCCCAAGTGCCAGCTCTGAGAGAGATCTGAGCCACCGGCTCTTTTGACTCGAGTTCTGCACGAAGCCTGCGACTGTGATCTGGGATGTGGCTGTTTACGAGTAATCAAGAACCATAAGCGCCATAAACCTACGAAGCAGCCTACCGCCCATCCAAAACGTTTGCACAAAAACACGTGAGTTTTCCAAAACCCAAACCAGCGCATCCCGAAAACCCCCAAATCCCAGGCCCTTAACTACAACTTTCTCGCAATGGCATGCTCCACGCCGAGGGACCACGCCAGGTTCTCGTTGTCCCAAGCATCTGGAAACTAGGCATACTGGGCATACTTGAAGACTCCGTAAACTGCAAATCCTGAACCAGATCCGCAAAACCCTATCCACCTGAAAACTTGGACTCCGAAGGATCGCCTCTGGATCTCAGCTTGGTGCGACAAGTAGTTCGAGACCTTGGGCAAGGCTCGTTTGCCGAAATCATGCGCTTCTGGAAATGCAGTCCTTCCTCACTGACTCATGCCACGGGACGATTCTTGCCGAAACATCACACACGTATGTTCACAGGCTCAACCAAACACAAATCCTTCCGTTTATTGCTCTTAGAACCCGCACTCTCACAAGGGCTTTATGCAGAAATTCAGGATTGTTATCGTGGTGTGGCGATGATGGCACAGAACGTGCTTGAGCTTCCGGTTTCTGCTGAAGGTTGCCTCTCTCAGCCTGGAAAATCAAGGCATGACTGCCAGTTGAGTGATGCAGTGAGGCTTCTGCGTCTGTCGCCTGTAAAGTGTGTAAAGCCAAGTGGACGTCAACACCTGGTGGCCCGGCCTGCTGCCCCGAGCTTTAAGGCATTGGCCTATGCTTGGAGACCTAGCTTCCCATCCCTTCGCTTGCAAACCTTACCCAAAGGACAGACCATGTAGCAGCAGAAGGGCCACAGGTACTGCTACCTTCGGCGCAGGCTCGCTGCCAGCTGTATCCTGTCCAGGAGGGCTGAAAAAAAACTGTCGGACAACACGACAACTGTTCCCCCATACCTTGAACAGTCTCACGATGGAGTGGCTAACTGCTCAGCATCTTCTTGCGGAATGCAGTAGCTGGGACTTGTCTGGGTTTGAGTTCGGATGCTCGTGATACACAGCGCACGAAGACAGATCAGGTCAGGCTGAGTTAAACAGACTCCCACTTCGCGATTCACAAGCTCCCAGGAACACCCGACCCCCGTCCCTTCCACCAAATCAAGGGGACATGCTCACGTGCCCAGGAAGATACTGCACAAAGCAAAAAAGCATTCCAACTGCATAACTTCTGAGAGCAGCCTTCCAGAACAAGCAAAAAATCAAGGAGGTTTGACCTGGTCCACAAGCTACGCCCCAAAAACCGAAGAAGCCCCCCCTCAGGCTCTGGTGTCTTTCTAGAACCGATTGCCTGCGAGCGCCGCTGCGAGCAGCGTGGGGGTGGTGCACGCGGCTTCACCTCCTCTTCTGCCTCTCAAGATCTGCACACAAGCTAAGCCTCACATCTGGGCTGCCTGCTCGCACTTTCTCGGCAGCTCCGGGCTTCGAGGCCCGAAGCGGAATGCTTGCTTATCTAAGCTACGAAGGGTTGATCTTGACGCTGAGGACTGCTTATACAAGTGGAGGATCGAGAATATGTACACTCTTCCACTACCCAAAGAAAAATGCATGAGGTCTTTAATGGCCCCGCCACCAACCTGCTTGAATCTACATGCCTGTGCCTGCACACCACACGTTTGACCTTGCACCCTCTTGGTACATTTTTTGCCGACTGCGCGAACCGCGGATGCACTTCCAGCGGCGTTGTTCGGCACGACCTGTCATCTGCGGCAAGGAGGCGCCGGCCACAATGCAGGACCTGTCACCAACAGCTGTGCAGCGCCGTCTTGGCTGCTGCCGCTGTCCTTCTGCACTCGGAAAAAGACGATGCCATGTGTGCCTCACTCTTTTGCCTGCTTCCCATTCTGGCGCCACGGCCGGACCTGATGGAAAGTCTGTGGGCATGTTGGTTGGGGGATGCTCAATCATGCAAATCGTGGTTGCGCTTGACACACTTGAAAGTAGCTCAAGTCATTCGGGTGCCTGTATCATCGGATTTGGCCAAAGGCCCTGTAAAGGTTATTAACAAGACAAGTTAACATACAAATTAAAAACACAAAACCTATGACTGAGACTTTGGTTGGCTCTGGCCTGGAACATCCGTCAATGTTCTGGATTCGAAATGGAAGGGAACCCTCTAGGCATGAACACCCGTGATGATTGCTGTGATGGAGGGGAGAGAAAGGCTATGACGGAGAATTTGCATTGCTCGTTGGATGGCTCTGGTCTCGAATCCCTCTCGCGTTCTCGATCCGAGTTGGCTAGCAAAGGCTCAAACGGGGAACTCGTGAGCTTGGGGAAGGGGGGGCTGCATCGGCGCGTTCCGACTGTCTCTGTTCACGCCCTGCCTCGAACATGAAGGCGAGGGTGGTCACCAGAAGGCTCGGAAGCAGGTAGAGCCTCGAGGGCAAAACGAGGACACAGTATGCAGGTAAACCCCCCGGTCTAAACTTTACACCCTAAAACCAGCAAGTAAACTTTAAACTCTCTACGGCCCTAAAAGCCCTAAAACCCGACATCCCAACACGCCATGTAAGCCCACCGAGATCCCTTCCAGGGCACATGAAGGTCTCTTGGACATAACTGCTCCCCTGGTGCTCGAGCACCTCTGCTCGAGTGTTCCTGGGCTTCTCCCACTGGCGGCATCAGCTCAGCGCCGAACCACAGTCGCAAGTAACATAACTCCAGGAAAACACGCGCGGCTTTGCTTACAACCCTCGTCTGAGTCTTCTGGTTGGTGAGTCCGACAGCCAAAAAAATGATTCCAAGTGGGGACCTGGTCTCCAAGCCTCGCTGGTCCGCGTGGCAGAGCCGACGATGCTGCTACAAAGGGCCTGGGCTCTGGCCCTTCTTCGGACTCAAGGGTGTGACAAGCTCCACCGACATGTCACCGAGGCATGAACCTCGTCCGTGACACTCTCGGCCTTCTGCAGCTTCGCCCGCTTTTGGGCCATGAGCTTCTCCAGGGTGAAGGGGCTCCAGGACCCATAAGTCATCAAGTCCTGCAGGCCACAGAACCACACAGCCTTACGTTGAAGCAGGATCTGAGAGACTCTCGGCTAATTCAGAACTTGCACCAGGCGCTGGCTCAGTCAGGGCGAGCGCGCTGCTAGGATTGCACTGGCTCTGATGGGCTGCCCCCAAGAACCCCAAAACCTGCTGCGAAACACATGTGTAAAACATCACGAAGCTTGGCAAGTCAACCTTAACGCAACCTCCCCGAACCTCCAACTTCAAGGGACTGTCCCTCAGCTGCAGGAAGAAGTGCATAGCTGAAGATCCTTGCAACCGCGCACGTACCCGTGCTGCCTCGGTGTGGACGAAGGATGCGTGCAGGATTACGATGCAGGAAGATGCGAGACTAGCCGCTGGCGACAAACTTTCTTCCTACCATTCCTACCACTAGGCCAGGAACGGCACCGTGGCTGAAAATATGGAATTGTGGTGTTGGCCGGTGATCGCAAAAGTGGTTTGCGGCGGATTATGAGACCTGGTGTGGTGCTAAGCCTCCTTCGGCAAGTGCTGCGGAACTGCTGATACTGGTCCCACTAGAACAAGTACTGGTCGGACAATCGGACATCTGACCCCTTTTATTCGGCAACTGGGCCCTTCAGATCTTGGAAGCACGAGGGGGTGCAAGAGGAGGGAGGGAGAGCTCCGAGCACGAATTACGAGTAGCCTGGTAAAGCCTCCGTGCAAACATGGAAGGTTTGATGGACACCCTTCGGTCGCTCTGTCCAGTGAGCCTGAACGGCACAACATTTACATCCCACCCATAGCTGCCTTACAGCATCATGGCAGTGTAGGCAGTCTCATGGCTGTGCTGGTATTATGCCTGCGTTAAAGGCGTGTTGTTATACTATAGACATGAAGTGCTCTTATCGTGTTTCACTCTTGTATTGTACCTCCGCAGCCCAGCCAGCCCCGTGCCTTGCGCCCCTGCACAGCCAGCTCCGCCAACTCGCATGTCGGCCCGCCATATCGCATGTTGGCGAGTTTGTCCTACCAATTTTGAGCGCAGGAATACCAAGACAAGAATGTGTGAATGCTTGCTGCCTGCAGAAACCACGGGCGAACTGCACCATGACCATGATTCACAAAAGCTGCCGAACTCTGGCCTCTGATACGGTTTATCGAGTTTCGACAGCCTCGGGCTTCCTACCCTCGCATACCCACCGCACCTCCAGCTTGCCCACAGTTTCATGGTAGTTCGCACGGACCTCGCGAGGTTTTGACATTAGCCCAATCCCGAACAAGCCTTCGGAACTGTAGCCGTAGCCGCCCACATGGGTGCAGCCAGTTGCGGTCGAAAGCCGACCACTGATGAACAAGGCAAGGTGATGAACGGGCCTCTAAACTCGAATCCACCAGCGAGCATCTTGCGACTTTAGGCCTATTGGACGCCACCCATGGACATGAGATTTGTGTAGTGTAGTTGAATCCTCGAATCGAGCTGCGATCAACAAAACTACTGGGGCCGGGACGAGGGAACCTAAGAGCTCAAGCTAAAGTATCGACATGCCACCGGAATCCAACCCATGGTTGCTCGCTCCGGTCTGGTATTTGGCTGGCATGATCCATACAACTCCCTAGCTTGCCTAGTAAGGAATGGAGCCCAAGCCGTGGGGAGGTCCCCTTGGTGCACGGCCCTTCCAACTCAGTGCACTCGCACCGCTCTCGCAGAGTCGTGCCCCTGGTCCTTCGTGCCTATGTGAAATGAAACTCGGTCGATAACCGTGTCGACCCCTGCCGGAAGACTAACCTAACGACGCCCCGAGCCCCGGTGCAAGCCGCTCCCTTGAAAAATCTACAGGCTGTTTGGCTGGACTCCCCGCAGGCCCCCGAAGGCCCAGTCTAGAAGAACCGATTCCTTCGAAACCTTGTCCTCAAGGATGACCTGAAAATGCTGGGTTTCGTTTCGTAGTTCTCACTTGATCTGAGTGTGGTGTACCCATGCGAATCAAATCAAGCCCTTCCATCACTGAGACGTTTGTGTAGTGCTGGGAGCTGCGAGTAGCCTCGAAATTCGGCCACTGCGTGGCCCGCACTAAGCCCCAACTCCCAAGCCCGGCCTGCCAGCTCGGCAAGCCCCTCTCCGGAGGCACCCCCAGGTCGGGCAGCGCGGCCTCCAGGCGCTGGAGCTCCGGACCTGGGCTTCGCTGCATTTCGTACCAAGCAGTGGTGCTTGAGTCCCGAAAAGGTGATGGCGATGGGATAGTGATGACGTTGGTACTGCGGTCTGCCGTTCTGCTACTCCTGCACTACCGAGTTTACATGTCGTTGCCCGTTTAGGTGTACAGCACCTTCACCTGGAAAGCATGGCGCCTCAAGCATTGCGAACACCTTTACCCAAACCCGGAAATCATACAAGCCCTGTTCAAACACATCAGCCCGACAGCAGGACCGCGTGCCGGGGACTGAGAGGTCACGGCTGCCGGGTACTGCCCCGCGGAGTGTCAGCCGTGTGCGAACTAGGAAGTTACTCGCAAGGTTCTGGATGCAGTGGATTTCCGTTGCCCAAGTGCAACATTCAAGGCGCTTCCGCAAAGCTATCAGACATCCATCTGGGCCTTTTGACAGGTCTGCTGCAACAGCCCGCCACCGAAAGTGCGGAGAAGTAGATTCCCGCCGGAACCAAAACCAAGCGACTGAGTAATGAATCAGGGGTTAACGCACAAAAAGGGACTAGACTACAGACATTCAAAGGCTCGGAGGAGTTTCGAGAACTTAACACAAAACGAACGAACCTCTCGAAACAAAGTAGAACGAAGGGCAAACTCTTCGATAGGGACTGAAGCACTCGAGATAAAGCCAGGCCCTCTCATCATGGAGGAAATTCCACCGTCACCGCCGTCCAGATCTCTCTTTCGACCGGTCTGTCGCTCCTCTTTGCCTCTCGGCCCAACTCTGTTGAAAGCAAAGCGACTTCTACGGGCACATGTTTTGTCGCGCAGCATCGAGACTCAAGCGCTGCGGAAGAGTTCACAGCTGAAGCTTCGTGACTGTACTCATGTCACCGGAAAGACTGTTTCAGTCCCCCAATGTTTTTGTCAGCTGTGAATCCGCCCCTTTTAAGGCATGAAGAACTCTGCTTCCCCTGGGCCAACACACTCGCCTCTTCCTCGATCACGTAGTGGTGGGTCGCCAGCAGCTTGTGCAAAGGCTCCATATGAGCCCCGGTGAGCTTTGTTAACCCATCCGCCGGGTTAAATTATGCGGTACCCAACGGATACGGCCACGAAGCTTTTCCAACGACCCTTGTATAATTGCGATTTCAAGGGCCGAACGGTCGTCGTCGCCATGCGACTGTTCCGAGTGCAGAGCATCATACAAGCTTTTCGCATCTGCAATAGCCACAGCTCGCGGATCCGTGTAGTTTGGATCCTCCGCGGCGATGACCGTAAGCTTCGAGTCGTCCTCTTCTTCTTCGCCGCCATCGTCCTTGGGGTTGTACTGGGAGATTGTGAGACTTTTCCAGGTAGCCACCTGGCGTTCAAGAGCTCCCATGGCTGTCGACATAGCAATCGACTCGCAGAGCAGTGTGTTGCCCGCCTTCCGCTTCATCCTGCGCGATTTCCAGGCTATCAGGCTTATAGGAGCCTGACGTCCATGGTTCAGGTCCGGACTTGTGGTGCCCTGCAACCAACCATGCTGTGGTTTAGTACGGCCCGTCGGGTCAAAGGCCGAGTCGGAGATCACCACATGGCGAACCTGGTCCTCGTCAAGCGCATGGATAACCAAGTCCACTTTCCGGTCCTTGAGGTTCTGAACGACCTGGTTCACGGCATAGACATCCTGCATCTTCGGATTCGGGAAGCATCCTGCCAAGATAGAAGCAGCTGCTGCTGCGTCCGGCCTGCCCTCCCGAGCTGTCCAATTGATGGCCGCAATCACTCCTCTCAATTGGCTTTCTTCATCGTCTCGAAGGGATGTTTGAGGGGCAACCTTTTTGGTCACATGGCGGGACACTTCCACAAACCTGAGCCGATTGCTGACGTAGTCGTTCATGCTGTAAATGAAGCTGTAATCTTGGCGTTGTCGAAGGCGTCGGCCCGCGTAACCCGAGCCTGCCTCGGTCTCCATCAAGTTGGTCACCTTGCCAAAGCGGAAACGTTTCTCCAACAGCGCCATCTTTTCCCTGTGCCTCGGGGATCCTGCTTCTAGCAGGTCATCGATCTCCACCACGACGATGCCCTGCGTCTTCTCCTGGTCTTCCAACTTCTCCGACGGGTCTGCATGGAGGACCAGGACGCAGCGATCGAAAGGGCACAACTTATATCCCAGTTCCTTGATGAGCACGTTGAGTAACGAACGACGCCACCAACTGGGCCCTGACACTAGGCCGTACACTTCGGTGAGCAAGAGTATGAGCTGTCGGGCGTCGTACTCGGGGAAGTGTTCACAAGGTGGCATTCGCACCGCCAATTTCTGTTTTCTTGTTGTTGGCAATCCCTGGAGAAAAGCTGTCTTAACGTCACGGACGAAGCCCGTCCATGACCTGCATGCTGACACTTGCGTAGCCAGGTATATCGAGGTTGACAGTGGTGTGGGAGCTGAGCGCTCAATGCTATGAACCTCCGGGTCCTTCCATCCCACCACTGTCCACCTTGATTTCGGTGCCACTTCGCTGGTGGCCTCGTCCGTCACGTTGTAGGCGTCGAAGTTCTCCGGTAGGGTCGCTCCTTCTTCAACGGGCTTCCACCTGTCCACGTATCGGCTCGTGAGAACGTGGTCAGGGTGTAGGCGCTCGAACTCCTGGGATTCCTTCAAGCTCAGGATCTTGATGGCGCCACTGGACAAGAGGCTGTTGATCTCCTTGTCACGAGACTTTCGGAAAACTTTCTTCAAGCGTTCCGGTAGCTTCTTGAAGTCCACATGTCCAGGGCTCTCTTTCTTCTTGGTCAAGAACATCTTTTTCTCGCGGTGGTCATAGACAGCCTCGGCTTGGTCGTGAGTGAATGTCGTCTTGTCTTTCGCCACGGGTTCCCAGCGATTTCGGGCTTTGTCGTGCCACCACTTGATCTTCTTCTCCTCCTGGTAGTGGTCCTTCACCTCCAGGTAGTTCATGGGTTGTTGTGGTGCCGGCCAGGAAGGAAGTTGAGCCACCATCGGATATGGCAATGGTCCGGAGGTTCTGTTCTCTCGAACCGGACCGAACGGAAACTCTCCACCCGTGCCCTCGTCCACGCGAATACTGGATCTCCGCGACAAAGGCACTGGTGTCGTAGGTCCGTAGGTTCAGTAGGTACTGTAGTGCTTCCGACATCCGAAACACCAGCTGGCCGAGCGAGATCTGGAGCTGGTAGTGCATCAGGTGGTTGAGGATTTCCTCCGACATCGCCCGCTTCTGGGGTTAGCATGACCGCATCTTCCCCAGGTTCAAGGGGTGAGTAGTTGGAGAACTCTGCCTCGTCCAGCATGTCGTCATCCGGAGGCCCTTCTCCTTGAACGTCCCTGTAGTTCCTGACTCGCCCACCCTCCAGGCCCGGTCCTCAAGAAGGCCTTGATCCAGGATCTGGCGCAGTTCGACCCCGAAGCTTTCCTCGGTGGTCGCCAATCGAACTTGTTCCCGGGCTGTCTTGAGTAGATATCCTCTCAGGCTGATCCACAGTGACCTGCCATTCTCGTTGATCTGAATGACCACCCCCGGCCCCGACCAACCTCTGAATTCTGGCGTTCTCCTCCAGACATAGACTCGATCACCCACTGTGAGCGGAAGCTGATCGATGGTTCGGGTGTTACTCTTGGCAGCACGCGTCACCGCTTCGAAATCTTGGTGCTCGGTCCAGGCCTTCATGGCAGCTTCACGAATTTGGCGCGTCCTTCCATGAAGTCCGTTTGGGCTCCAGCCAACATCTCCCGGTCAGCACGATCATCCGACAGCAAGGTAGCTGGTAGGCGTATGCTGGACCCGAACACCCTTTGATGCGGGGTAAACCCGCTGCGGTCGTAGCGCTTGTTGTGCATCATGGCGGTCTCAGCGACAGCGATCTTCAGGTCCTGTTCGGTAGTGATCGCGGTCTCTTGGCATACTTTAGCCAGTCGGGACTTGAAGATGCCACCTGCCTTCTCGGTCCTCGAATTCTGCCAGGGAGAAGCCGTGTCAGTAAAGTGGACCACGGTGGCATTGTCCGACATAAGGTTGATGAAGTCCTGGCCTGTAAACTCCGTTCCCTGGTCACAGACCACCATTGCTGGTGCACCATAATGTGCCAACCAAGATTGTGCAAAGACTGTGGCCACCGTAGACGACGACTTGTCGGCAATCATCTCGACCAGTTGAAAATTTGTCCCCCAGCACACCATGTTACGGAAGATCCTCCGGTCGAGAAAGAAAAGGTCCAGGCCGATGACTTCATTAAATGGCATAGATCGCGAAGCCACATGGGCCGGCCTGTGGCCCACGGGGCGCTTTTGTTGAGTGCAGATTGGGCACTCGAACCCCTTTCTCACCCACTTGAGGTAGTCGGCTTTCACACCCGCGTTTTTCAACGCTCTCAAGAACGTTGCTTGGCTTGGATGTCCCAAGTTGCGGTGGATACGGTAGAGCTCACGTCGTATATCCGCCGGCGGCATTTTCGTCTGATCTGCTGGAGATGCTGTTGAAGCTTCTTCGGGTAGTGGAGGTAGTTGGAGTTCACGAAGGTCACGATGAACTGCTCGTTCATCGGCTCCAATCGTTTCCATCGCATCTCTTGTTGTCTCAGGTTCTGCAGAGTTGTAAGGCAAAAGGTTGGGAGCGTCGGGATTCATCTCGATCTCCTCGGCAAAAGGGACGCCGTCGATTTCTTCGATGTCGGCATCGTCAGGGAAGAGGACACGGCGTTCGCGACGTTCTGCGCGGTTGGCTCGTGCATCCTCCCCCAAAATGTTGTGCGATGGAAAAATTGACAGCCACTCCGTTTGGAAAGATGCCTCAGCTTCTTGAAAGGTGCAAAGCATATACCTGCGGCGACCCAGGTAGCCAAGTCGAAATAGGCATCCGGGAGCAGCGTTTGTTGCTCGAGCTCAAAAACTGTAAGTCCTGTCCAAAATTCCAAGTCGGTCTTTTGGCCGGTCTCAGAGGAAGGCCAATGGTCTTGGACCAGTTGGGAGATGCCGCCCACGTAGTGCTTGATCATCGCGCGGCGGCCTGTGAATCTAAGCTGGGAAATGTCCAGCTGGTGACAGGCTGACGGGGTCACCGGTGTCCTTCTCGGGTGAAAGTGACGGCACGCCAGGTTGATGGCATTGACCGACCATTGATCAGGGCAGCGGTAGATGACGATTGCTTGTGGTCGTAAGTGTTGTCGCACGCCCTGAAGGAGAGTTTCTGCAAAGATCCGTTGTTCTCGACGATCTAGCTCCGAACCTGGAGATTGCTTTGCCGAAGCCAAACGCTTGCTCAGGGTGGTGACCAAGGGCTCCATGTTGGTCAGAAGCAAGGTCAAAGTAGTCGATGATTCCCCCGAACCCAAATCCAGACCCACCTCGAAAACGTTGGGATCATCTCGAAGTCGTTGAAGTCGATGTCGTGCTTGTGCGCCAGGTTGTTCGACGATGAAGCCACGGCCTGCATGGCGCTGGATTTGGGCCAGTAGCAGGACAAAAGAGGATGCCCTTTTTGACATGGCTCCAAGCCTGCCATGCTTCCCGTCTTGTCCATAGCCTCGTAGTACCAGAACTGCTGGGCGATGATCTCGAAGCACTGCCAAGGCATTCTTCCGATGGTCTTGAAGGTCAGTCAAAGTTCCAACCTTGAGACATGTCGACTGACCTCGCTGTGGTGGTTGTCCTTGTAGGTTTGGTCAGGTAATTCGTAGGTCTCACCGTTGACTTGAAATGGTTGGCAAGCTTCTTGTTGATCGCCACGAACTTCACCCCGGGGTCGTCTTTGATCGGCTCCCCGGCATAGTCCAAGAGCCAGTTGAACTTTGCGTACTTGTTGTCGAACACATAGCACTCGATGGTGTCCTTGGTAGTTGGATCCTGTCCCGGGGATTCCCAGAGTTCCAAGTCGGGCCGCCATGTCCAGGTAGCAGACGGGGAACTCAGAAACGTTGGAAGCTCTTCTGGGCAGCGGATCTGCGCAGAAGAAATCAGAAGAAGTATCGTTTTCAAGATCCATCCCCGACACTGTAGTTGGGCTCCAAGCTTACGGAACTTGTTCTCAGGGTTGTCGATGAGCTCGGTTCCGGACATCAGGATCTTCGTTGTCCTCGTTGGGCTTGTCGTGAGGCTTGTGTCATCTGCACGTCCGACCAGGTGTCGCTGTCGGTGTGGATCTCGAAGGTCTCGGTAGGGTTCGGGACCCCGGTCTTCTTTCGGGGCTGCGTCGGTCGAAGTCCGGAAGTCGTGGATCTCGTCTTCGACGGGCTTCGGGTAGTCGTACTCGGCTCTCCTCGTTGTCGTTCGGGGTTCGAAGAGGTAGCTCCAGTGCCACCGGTTTCGTATTCCACCGGGGGCGCCATCGCCATGGGCCTCCCTTGGCGATCCAGCTCCACCATTTTGTCTCCTTGACCCAATCGACTTCGAGGTGCTGGAAGAAGCTTCGGGTACTCTTGGCCACGTGGTCCCAGCACCTTGTTCTCGGTCTCTGTCGTTGGCGGCAATTGCTGTGAAGACCTCGCCACCTGATCTGTCCTCTGCCAACGACTTCCGCATTGAGTGCACGTCCACCACTGCGAAATCGAATTCGCTCGGCACCTCAGCTTGTCCGGGGGATGATTGCAATCCGACGGCTCCACGAAGAACGTCTTGTGGGCCTTGGAACGTGGTAGAGGTCGTCCGATTCCTTGGTGTATTGGATCGGCACTGGACTTCTTGGGTCGGATCGCAGCCTTGGAGGTCTGAGTCATCGGTGGTGATTGGTGCTCCAGCGCGGTCGCTTCGAAGAACTCGTCCACCACCATTTGTTGACGAGCTGTTTCCAGCATCACCATCAATCGGCACACCAATCTCTTCCAAGCTGCTTCCACTTCGCGCGGGCCCATCTTCTTGCCGGGGAGCGATTGATCCATCTTCGCCTCCTCGGCTACCATCCTGTCCGCCCGTTGTCGCAAGGACGACATGATCACGTGGAGGTCGGGACGAACGGGATCTCGAATTCAATAACCACTTCACTGTTCTGGACAGCATTCGCTCGAACCATGACGCTGTGGTCGGGGAGACTGATTCAGTGGCCTGCTGATCTTCCATCACATCAAAGCCCTGCTCTAAGTCATACACAGCAGAGCTCACATGCGGATTATACTCAGCGTCTGGATCCAGCTCAATGTGCATGCACTGAAAACTGACATGTTGAGGTTGAGGTACTGGAAAATCACAACGTGCGAGCTGACAAAGGTGTTGCTTTGATGCATTCATAATCCCTCGAGAAGTATACGCAGTCACACTTATCCTGCATCCCTTCCACGAGTTTACCTCATGCCACTTCTTGGGGTTGAACAGCAGTAGGCGATGTTACTTCTTTTTCACCGAAGGTCCCGACGGCTCCTGCTCCGAGTCTTCCAGCCAGAGCTTTCCTCCAGCATAGTTGCCGAAGGCAATGGTCGCGCTTTGGCCTAAGTTGTTGACATCGCGGTGCATCGGGGCCCGGGTGTTATAGCCAATGCCCAGGGTGGTGTAGGTCAACTCTGGAAAGTGATGAGCCAACCAACGGTTGAGGTACGTAACGAGCTGAGGGTACCTGGCCGTGTTCTTGGAAACTCCAACAAAGGCACCGTGGGCATGTAGGCCAAAGATTCCATAGAAGGCGTTCTTGGCGGTCTGAGAGGTCTCTCCAGTCATAATGCTCCGACGATGACCTTTGTTCCGGACTTCCAAAGCGGTCAGGAAGGCTTCCATCGTCTCCATGGTCCAGTCCTGATTATCCGTGTGGAGCTTGGCCATGCGCTCCAGGAACGACCGGCTCTCGACCATCTCAGTTGTTTGTGTGGTTCTCCCAGATGATCTCCTCGAAGGTGAAGTAGACGTTCTGGATGTGGTCGAAGTAGAAGTTGCCGTGGATTTCTGGGGCCGCGGTCGGCAGAATCGCCCTTGTTACATCCACCGTCACCAGCACCATCATCTGGGTCCATCTTCATCACCTTCTCCCCAAAATTGTTGTGGCGAGAGTCGGGTTGCTGCTCGTAAAAGAAGACCTGCCCATGCCAATCAGTAAGTACTCGATGCGAGGACCACAAGTCTCGAACATGCTGGACATGACCATCCCGCTGCACCGCCATTGTGTAGCGATGTGGTTGTAGCTGCCATGATCGAAGTTCCGGTATTTGGCGAGGTTGTAGTAGAGCTTGTTGCCAGCCTCGCCGGTGGGCTATGTAGCGCAGACCATCTGCCACATCATTAACCCAAGTGTGCACCTGCGGGTTGGCAAACGACAACTGGTGTAGGGCTGAAGATGGGCTCTCCGGGCATGATGGAGCACTAGAGGTGTATACCATCTGGAACGGATCATAAGCATCTTGGCGAAACTGAGTCGGCAGCTCCCAGGGTTCGTCCCTGAAGTCCAGGATCGAGACTGTTCGATGTCCCGATGGCTGCCGTACCAAGGGTGTCCTGTGGCCTTCGGGTGTTGATAACATCTCGTCCCTCAGGTCAATGTTCGCCTTGATGGCCTCGAGGAAGCTGATCGGAAGCAAAGGTGGTGTGTTGAACTCGCCATCCTTAAGGACGTGGAACCTCAGCAGCACGTGGATGCCGGCAATGGATACTGGAACGTCCTGGATGCTGGCCAGCGCGGCCTGTCCTCCAATACCAGCACAAGGAATTTCCGGTCCATCTCGAGGTACCTCCTGAGGCCTTAAGCCGAACTTCTCGAGCTCGGTTCTAAGGAGGTCAAAGGCCTTCTGTCCAATGACTGCATCCTCCGCTGCCGTGTCCACGATGGCCTCAAAACCCTTGACCTTCACCCCGGCGAAGACGGCGATGGTCCTTCGTGCCACTGCTTCCTCGCTCCTCCGCTTTGTCTCAATCTTGGGCCACTTTACTCCATCACCTGCTTGCATGAAGACTTGACCCCCACCAGCGGATCCTCGAGAAACCACGAAGGACACTTTACTGGTCCTTTGCCTCCTCCGCCTCCTTTAAGAGGGCAGTCCCGGGCAAAGTGACCCAACTCGTGGCAGTTGAAGCACTTTGTGCGGCTCTGGAGCTCCTCGTGCGTGCCTCGAATCATCCGAGGGCCACCTTTCCGTGCAGGCGGGCCACCCTCATTCTGAAGGATCCCCTTTTGCCAGAACCTTTGGAGCTTCGGGAAGGGGATCTTGGTCTCATAGGAGTCGTCTTGTTGTGTTTGATGAAGCCTCGTTCTCGACGACGATCCCTAGGTCCTTGCGAACATCCGCGTAGGCCGAGGCATAGGCCGAATGATAAGCCTGGATGTACAGAGCTTCGTCCTCATCATACTCGCGATCTTCGAAGTAGAGCTCTGAAGCCTCCTCTTCGTCTTCCTCGTCGTACTCCACATCCTCCAGGTCTTCCTCGGCATCAAAGTTTTGGTTCTCAGCGAAGTCACCCGGGCTATAGTCATTCTCAAGGTTGCCTCGATCCTCAGAAAGCACCACTGGATAATGCTTTGCCCCGGCAGAGCCAAGCTCTGCTCCGGCCGCTTGTGCCAGCAGCTCCGGTCGGTCCAGCTGCCTTAGCATCGTGGCCACCTCGTCAAAGGTCATCAAGGCGCTGTTGTCCTTCAGACTAACCAATTCTCGCTGAAGTTCGCTCATGTGTGCTTGTCTGAGTAAGACTCGGCCAGCAACCTTGTCACTGAGCTTCTCACCCAGGTGGTTCTCGAGATCCTGACGAGCGACTTCTTTAGCTGCTATAAATGCTGCGAAGCTCTCCCCTTTGTGCCGGTCCCCACTGTAGAAGTAGCGGTCCACGCTCGCCGGTCCGGCAACTTCAAGAAAGGGACGGTACTTCGCCATGAGGGCCGTCAACACCTTGTCATAGCCCGCGGCGGAGAGCAGCTCGTTCATGGGGATCTGGTCCGAGATCTTCCTTGGCTGGCTGCCCTCAGGGAACGACTGGTAAAGCCTCAGTCCCCACTTCTCCTTCGGGACTGTTGTCTCAGCTTCCCAGCATGCTAGCAGCTTCAGCCAGCTTCGAAGAGTGTTCGGCTGGCCACTCCAGCTTGGAATGGCTTTCTTCTCTCCAGTCAGAGCGGCTATGAACCTCTCTCCTTGGTCTGGTCCGGGAAGCGTCGCCTTTGGCGGAGAAATTCCCAGCATGTCAAAAGCCGAAGTCACCTTGGTCGGTCTCGTAGGTGTAGGTCCAGGAGGATTAGGGTTCTGTGCCATCGCAGCTGCCATCGTCGGAGGCAGTGGTCTACTCGTATCGGGCTCATTTGGAGGTCCGGTAGGCGCCGGCGAAGTCATAGTACTTGCGAAGGCCGTAGGGGGAGTTGTTGGGAACGTTGTAGGGGTAGTCCACCATGGATGTGGTAGAGGGCGAATGTTGCCAGGTCCACTTGGTGGTCCAAAGGTCGGTGCCGTAGCCAAGAAGGGTGGTCTTAGGCCACCATGAAACACACCCGTGGGAGGAGTGCCCTGATTCATCCACGGGGTTCCCGTAGCCTGTTCACTTGATGAAGAGGCTCCAGGAATGAACTGACCACCAGGGCAGGCTGCCCCACTAGTCCACGTCGGTTCCAACTGCGAAGCCCTAGGCCCGTTACTGGGAAACCAAGTTCCATATGTACTTGCCGAAGGCGCCGTCGCAGGACGATGAACTGGCGAATCACCTTCAGGTACACGCTGTGAAGCGTCCTCACGCTGGATGCGTGCTTGGCGGCGTGATAAATAATCAGCCCAAGGGTCCATGGCCTAACACGGCTCCGGTGCCAACTGAAAGCAAAGCGACTTCTACGGGCACATGTTTTGTCGCGCAGCATCGAGACTCAAGCGCTGCGGAAGAGTTCACAGCTGAAGCTTCGTGACTGTACTCATGTCACCGGAAAGACCGTTTCTTTGTCAAGCGACCTTCTGCCTTCGGCACCTCTCTCGCTGAAGGGCCCTCGGGATGGGGCAGCCAGCACCTGACATCGGGGAGCACAGGACTGTTTTAATTAACGGCTTCCCGGAATCAAGGCTCCGAAGCTGAGCCGGGCGTTGATTGCGGAATGTACCCACAGTGTCCCTGGGCCCCTCTGCATAGCTTGGCCCGAGTTGGACAACTCGTGGTCCTCGGGTGGCCCAGTTCCCCTCTACATCCCCGTTTTGTATGTGCAAACAGATAGATATAGATATATATATAT